CGCGCAAGGCTACATACCACGACACATAAACATCCGCGTTGCACCCTGAGCGTAAGCAACGGAGGTGCTAGGGTTTGTCGCCAGGTATACCCCGACGCCGCAAGCCGCACCGTGGGCCTGTTGAGCACCAGGAGAGAGGCCGGGTACCAAGAAACCGCTCTGTCACGAAAATTGAAGGGCCTGCATCAGACTTTGACGGAGAAACCTGCCTGGAGTATCGGCTGAATATTCGCCTCAGCCGTGCCGTGGAAGAGATTTTTCTCTGTAGCGTCGATCCCAAGCGAGGCGAGGAGCGCCTTCGCCGCCTCGAAGCGCGCCTCAAGCTTTGCATTCACGAACCACTGCACTGTACCACAGCGTTAGCGCGTGAATTTAATAAAATCGATTCATACCAGTTTTGACCTTGAGGCCTGCCGCGAGTGCTTGTTCAAAATCGTGTTTGACTAGATCCAGACTGTGCAATCGGGTGAGGCTCGGGCCTCGCGTTAATTATTCAAGGGAAGCTGACTGACTGGGCGGCATTGTCCGGGTCGTCATCACCTTCAATCGTCTTGCCCTCCGCATCAATTACGACGTGGAACACGATCCCATCGTCGGGCACGTCCTTGCTCTGCGCGAGCTTCTGCCGCTTTTCAGCCATCTTCGCGTCCATCTCTTGCAGGCGAGCAATGAGGCGCAAACTCTTTCCCTCTATCTCTGCAGCCTGTTGCTGCGCAAGCTCGTCTTCCTCTTCCCATTTCTTCTGCAGCGCAAGCGCAACGGCATGGTCGTCGTCGTCGTCCGCCTGCTGCGGCGCTACCTTATGGGTCTTGGCTCGTCTGGGCGTGGCTTCGACAAACTCTATGTCTGAGTCGTCAGGCGACTGGGCACGCTGGCGTTTCTTCTGGCTCTTGTTGGGTCTCGGTGTATTCGCGTTTGTGAATGGTCCTGCCAGGGGCTTGCGCACCGACAAGGGTTTGCGCGGGGTAGGTCGCTCGATGATTTCGATGAAGTCGTCGTCGACATCGCTGTCAATCCATATCACAGACGCCGCTGCCGCCACCGCCATTCCGCTCGAGACTTTGACTTTGCAGAGTTGGTGGACGACTGGATAGGAGGTGTCGCTCGCGGAAGCGAGAGGCAGTGTTGCACGTGACTGACGCGTTGTGTACGCGCCTGTCACGTAGACGTACTTCAGAACGAGGTTGCGAGTGGGAAGTCAGTGCAAGAGACTAGTAGACGTACGACTCCAGTAGATGGTCGATTTCTTTCCCTTTCATTGCTCACAAAACCGCGGACCCCAAGCCAGAAGACAATTACTCAGTACTCACCTGTCTCGGCACTTTTCCGGGTCTTGTCTAAGGCCTGACCTAAGGCCTTAGGCCTTAGGGCCATCACTGAGTCTACGACAGACTAGCTTTCCCCCGACACTGGTGACAGTATTTACATTCCTTAGCGGCAGAAATGGTTTGGCCTGTGCGGAGGTGACCACGCAAAGGATCCTCCTGTTGCACGCCTGTTGAAACTTAAAAGCAGTAACAAAATGAAGGCCAACCTGAACTTGAAGCTTCCAATGCTATGGTCGAAGTTCAATCGAAACATGTGCACCGGAAGCGGTTGCCATTGTGCAGAAGTTGATGTCTGCCGTTTGTCTGCCGTCGCCAACGTTGGATTTGGGGGATTCGGGAAACCAGGTAGAAAATAAAACCGGGGCTCACGTGCAGCGTTTCGCAATCAGAAGGCGAGCAGACACCCACTCTCTGCACTCAAATCGAGAGGGAAATTCTTCAACCACTTCTCTATGGACGTGGCGCCAACGCCGCACATCACATCTTGATGACGGGTATGGTGATTGATCTGAAGTCGGCGCGCCATGTTCGAGTTGCGACCCATGACCTGTTCGAACGCATGAGCGCAGGTAGTGTTCGGCATTCATGATCAGAAGCGAAAATCCTGACCTCTTACTTGTAAGGATGACGATTCCGTTCCCTATAAAGCGGGCACGACTTGCCGCCTCGTCGGATTTTCCCCCAGCTTGGAGATGTTATCCCGTTTTTACCCCCTTATCCTTTCGATACCTCTGTGCGCAGCTCTTGCGCCGAATGGACCATGGGACGCCTTCAACTACGCTCCGGAATCAAAGGTTGTGAAGCCTGTGTCGGTTCGCACTGTTAGCGGAACCGTTGAGGGTGCAGACAGTCTTGTGCAAGACTCGAGTGCACAGGCCACTTTCACCGGAGACAGTTCTTACGTCGTCCTAGACTGGGGCAAGGAAGTGCGTATTTTACCAGTCGCACCGCACCTGCTGCTGATGGTCCCATTCTAGGTCGGCGGCATTCTGTCTTTGACTATAAACAACGCAACCGCGTCCTCTCAATTCTCGTTCTCGTTCACGGAATCTGCGCAATTCATCAATCCGAAGCTCTCCGACGATTCCTGCCATGTGGTGTCGACGCAGGACGCAGATGGCGTCCAATCTTTCCGCGCGCCTCTGACGACCGGGTTACTGACACAGACAATCGGACAACAACGAGGCGGATTCCGTTTCCTGACAATCGTCTCAAACAGTGCCGATCCCCTCACCATTTCGAACATCTCTCTGGCGATCACCTTCATGCCACACTGGGACGATCTTAGGGCCTACCCTGGATATTTCTACGCACCGGATCCGGGCTTCCACGACGTCGATTTCCTGACCAAGTTGTGGTACGCAGGTATATTCCATTCGGATCTTGATGGAAGTTGAACCCGCCGTTGACACTTGTCTGTAGGCGCATATACAGTTCAAACCAACACAATAGATTCTCACCAGGCCAGGCAGAACGTTGCTAGTGGGTCAAAAATTCCGGGCCTGTGTATCCCGGTCACTGATACCCTCTAGCCGGATGGTCGAATGATGCTTCTGGCGGCCCTGTTGAAGGTCCGATCTTAGTTGACGGTGCAAAGCGAGACCGGTATGTTTCCGAAATATTCCTCGACTTCGTCGACGACTAATTCATGAGCAGAAATATATGGCCAGGTGATTTGTTTTGAATTCCCTAGTAGCCTCAGAAGATAACGTCCAACCGCGTAGGGGATTGCGGTATCTCGACGCACACGGAATTGGTGGCCCTCAACGATCTTCTCCCGACGAAGAACTCGCTCACCGTGATGTTCACTACGCAAGATCCCACCACTGGTGCATTGGCTTACTCTGGTCCTCCGATTAACGCCCAGGGAAGCGACACATACATCGCATGGTCGCTCATCGGAACACACAACTACTACTTGTATACCGGAGATCTTGACTTTGTCCAGAAGGTGTGGGCGAACTACACAAAGGCAGTGAGCTTCCTGGAGAGCCAGGTCGACGAAACCGGCCTCGCCGACGTGCCTGTTGCCCTGCAGAATGACTGGGGCAGAGACGGCGGAGCGGGCCACAATTCCGTCTTCAACGCCCTGCTCTACCGAGTCGGTCAACGTTCAGCCAATCTTCCGCCGGATAATAATACTATCTTTTGTAGACCTTGGTCACCGCTTCAGACCTCGCGACACAGGTCGGAGACACGGCTCTAGCGTCGGCATATCTCGCAAACTCGACGCTCATCAAGGCCGCCTACAATGCGCTCCTGTGGGACTCCAGCGCGGGCATGTTCCGGGACAACGACGCTCTAGACAGCATTCATCCGCAAGATGGCAACTCGCTTGCTGTGCTGTTCAACCTGACCACGTCTCCTACGCAAAATTCAGCCATCAGCCAAGGCTTGACACAATACTGGACCCCAATCGGGCCTTTGAGCCCTGAACTGGCCGACACGATTATTCCGTTTGTCGGTGGATTTGAGGTGCCCATCTACGATACATTCCGATGCTTTAGAACAACGCAACTGAGACTGGTTCAACTTTAGGTTCAGGCGCATTTCATCGCGGGCGAGGGCGAACGCGCAATCGAGCTCCTGGAAAAGGAGTGGGGCTATATGCTGTACACGAATCTGAGCGTGCAGTCGACCCTCCTCGAGGGCTTCACTGCCAACGGATCCCTCGGGTATGACATGTTAGATCAAACCAATTTTGTTGTTCTGAGCAGTGTGACGGAACAGGTACCGTGCGGCCGCGGGTTATGACAATGACCTGTCGTATACAAGCCATGCCCATGGGTGGTCGACCGGTACGTTCCATACATGATTGTTCGTCGCCAGTTCGTTCTGTGCTTACCGAAATTACAGGTCCCACCCCGGCGCTGACATTCCACCTGCTCGGCATCCAGTTGACCTCCGCGCAAGGCGCGACATGGAGCATTGCGCCGGTCCTCAGCGGACTACCTTCAGCCGAAGGCGGTCTGTCGACGGGGCTTGGCTTCTTTGGCGTAAAATGGGCGGTCGACGGCGATACACTGACACTCACCGTGCAGGTGCCTGCCGGGACAGAGGGCGTGGTGACGCTCCCCGGCTCCGGGCCGCTGACGGTGAACAAGAGCCGCCTGCTGAGTTCGAGCAATTCTGTGGAACTGAAAGGTGGGAACCATACGATTGCGCGGCACGTTTGAGGAGAGGAGTGCACTATTCGCGAAGCGCAAGTAAGATATACAGTGCGCATCTCAAGCCAATGTAAATTTGTATGGATACTGTTTGGTCTGGCACCGTTTCGTCCAGCAGCATCTTACAGAATCTCAGTCGTTATTAATATTGATTCTCCGTCTACATTTACGGGATTCAACGGTAACACCAGGATCCTGCGATGGCGCACAAACCCTGTTTTATCTGCACTTTCAAAGCTGGACCTCATAGAGGTTGGGGCTCAACTCCAGATGCCTAGATTGGTATTATTTAACGAACACCGGGTCGAATTTAATTCTTCCATAAGATCGCGAAGATATGGACACATATAGAAGATACTTACAATCACTCGTCGGTACGCTCTACCCACGATAGGGTAAGCATATTTTTGAATGATCTATTTCGGTTGGGTTGCATTCCATTCATACTTCCCATGACTAGGGAGATGAAGACGATTAGGACACAGACTGACGGCAGACCGACATCTCCCTCTTAGCTCAGTTGGTAGAGCGCGTCACTAGTAAAAAGTAATGACGAGGTCAGTCGTTCAAATCGGCTAGCGGGAATGATTGATTCCACTTCTTTTTTGTTTTTTGTTTCCTTCTGACCATTCGTCGACCTAGGAACGCGTTTCGCGGTTCTAATTGATCAAGTATCATTAGAGGATCGAATTAAGCGTAAATATATCCAGATAAGAAATATAACCACTCTAGGCGAGAACCTCTGACGCAATACCCCACAGAGTACATTGAGCGCCACCTCAGACTGTACTACAAGTCTGGTCCAAGAGCTCGCTGGAAACTTATCGATCTCCGGCCGCTCTCACTGGGAGCACGGAATATACATATTTCATTGATATGGATGGTACACCGACTGATAGTCTCTGGCCGTCCGCTCACTCCTTGAACGTCACCGTCTTGATACGCACAAACTCCTCGAGCCCCCACTGCCCATTGAAGCGTCCCCAGCCGCTGCTCTTCACCCCACCGTGGGGCAGGTTCGCCTCGTCGTGCACGCTCATGGCGTTGATGTGTATCGACCTGCAGAATCTCGTTAGCATCTATCCAAAAACCATTTCACCAAAAAGTACGCACCCGCACTCGAGCCTCTTCGCAACCCTCAGCCCCCTCGCCAAATCCCGCGTGAAAATAGCGCTGTTCAGCCCATAGTCGCTCTCGTTCGCAATCGCCACCGCCTCGTCCTCGTCCTTCACGGCAATGACGCTGACGCTCGGCCCGAAGCTCTCCTCGGCGTACAGCTTCATGTCGCGCGTCACGCCCTCCACCACCATCGGGCGCAGCGCCGTCGCGTGCGCCTCCTCCGCAGCGGGGTCCCCGTGCAGCAGGCTCGCGCCCTTCCCCAGCGCGTCCGCCACCAGCGCGCGATTGCGCGCGACGCCCGCGCTCTGTGCGAGCACGCACGCCGGGCCGCCCGGCGGCGCAAACTGCGCGACGGCGGCCTGCAGCGCGGGGCGGAACGCGTCGAGCACGGCGGCGTGCACGAGGATGCGCTCCGTGCTCATGCAGACCTGGCCCGCGTGCACGAACGCGCCGAGCGTGCACTGCATCGCGGCGTGCTCGAGGTCCGCGTCGTCGAGGACGATGGCGGCGGCCTTGCCCCCCAGCTCCATGAGGCACGGTTTGAGCGCCTTGCCAGCGAGAGAGGCGATCACGGAGCCAATGGCGGTGCTGCCGGTAAAGTTGATTTTCTTAATAGGGGGCGCGTTGATGAGCTGCGTGGTGAGCGCTGGCGAGTCGGCGCGCGCGGAGTAGATGATGTTGAGCGCGCCGGGAGGGAGGCCTGCGTCGGTGAAGATGCGACCGATGTGGTGGAAGCAGCGCGGACTGAGCTCGGAGCCCTTGAGCACGCAGGTGTTACCTGCGGCGAGGGGGAAGAGCACCGACCGGACCCCGAGAATGTAGGGCGCGTTCCTAGCGGAAGGTTTGAGGGGTTGAGTTTTAGTCCTAGGCGCTGTCGACATACCAAGGCGCGATGGCAAGGACGACGCCGTACGGCTCCTTCAGCACGAGCGCACTCGTGCCCTCGTCCTGGCATACCGGGATACTCCCCGTGATAGCGCTGATCCTGCCTGCAGTGTCGCGAATGTGTTCTGCCGTCGTCCCGATATTGAAGCCCGCGAACATCTCGCCGGAGCCCGTCTCTTGCTGCATGTGCAGCTTGAGTTCCTCAGCGCGTTGTTCGAGAAGGTCTGCGGCCTTGAGCAAGATGTTCCGACGTTGTGCAGGCTTGGTCTTGGACCAGGCGGGGAAGGCAGCACTGGCGGCGGCAACAGCAGCATCGGCGTCATCCAAGGAAGCAGACGAGCAAGACCATATGGTGGTGTGAGAGAGCGGGGAGTCGACTGGGAAGGTCGTACTCGATATCTTCTCTTCGCCGTTGATTAGGAGGGGGATCGTGTAGGCCATGGATGACTGGAGGATCGGGATGCCGCCTCATCATGCGTTCTAGTTAACACAGCCACCCCCACATTCATATCCGGAGCTAGGCTCGTTTCGACCTCTCGAGTCTGCCGGGCGTGAAATCCGAAGACAGTCGTTCAGACTAGAGAATCCGGAACATGATTGTTCCAATCATCACCTGTCGACGTCTTGATTTGAAATAGCCAAGCGCACAAGCCTTGGCGGGGACAGACATGGGGAGCTACGGAGGCAGTATTGAAGGGGACGCGACTTTTGGTGTGGACAAGTATCATCGTTCATACATGTGTAATCGATTGGCAGCGACACCAGCAAGCGCACTGTGTCGTCGCAGGTGCCCTCCCAGACTGTCTCCACCAGACCACTGAGCACTAGGGGTAGCTTCGCAGTTGCTTTCGGCACCCGAATTCCTAGTGCTGCCCTCCCCACGTCTGCGCCCGTCCCGTCCCGCCCCACCCCAGCCAGCCCCTCACGCAACGACATCACCGGTCTCTCTCGCATTACCAAGTCGACCGGCGCCATACTAGCTCCTCCCATCATCACAGACGCTTCTAGATTCTCCGCAGGCGCCTCCGGAATCGTGTTAAAGGGTATGAGTGTCGTCTAGAAAGATCCAAGGCGAGACCAGCGCAGTTGCACACAGACAATACCATTGCGAGTGGCATCGTAGATTTGGGCGCGCAGTACAGGGTGTCTTAATTGGGATGTGGGGGCAGCCACGGGCGACGCTGGCCGGAGGGGCAGGTGGAAGGAGCGGCGGCTCAAGCGCGTCGTGAGGTGGGAGGGGATGCCCTTGGCCACTGCGATTGGGGTGGGGAGCTCTGCGTCTGCGTTGGTGTACATGCAGAGAAGAGCAGCGGTCATGTCGCCGTCCCATCAAGGCAAAGCAAGGCGCGGGACCCGGGAGTCTAGGGAGTAAGAGCGCAGTAAGTGAATATTTTCCGAAAGAAAAAGAAGAGACGAAGAGAATACAAGGAGTTCAGTTAACGGTTTTCTAGGCCGCCGCTCGGTGAGCGTATTGCATTACATCGAGGTATATATATATTCCTCAGAGCCCAGTGCGTTTCATCACGAGAAAGAAAAGTATAGGAGAAGGAAGGAAGGAAGGAAGGATGGGAACTTACCTCCATCGCTAGCGGGATGGTCCACCACCCGGGAGAGGGGGAGGGCGTTGCTAAGCCAGTCTTTGTCGTAGCACCGAGCTGGAGTGTGTAGCCGGTGGAAGGTGGTCTCGGTCTTCTTTCCCTGTTCCTTTTAGCCCCTCGTTCGTCGGTATTATTGCGAAAATTGAGATGCTGGGAGTCTAGAGGGTACGAGTACATCAGTAGATATTCTTTTCCAAGAGAAAAAGCAGAGGCGAATAGAATAAAAGAGTCAGTTAACGGTTTTCTAGGCCGCCGCTCGGTGAGCGTATTGCATTACATCGAGGTATATAATAATATTCCTCAGAGCCCAGTGCGTTTCATCACAAGAAAGAAAAGAATAGGAGAAGAAGGAAGGAACGCGGCTTACCGACATCGTTCGCGCCTTTGTCGCGCAGCGCCGAACTGTATAACCGGCCGAAGAAGATTGGGCGCAGATCCGACTCCGGAGGGAAGAGGAAGGCGTGTGTTCGCTCTCCGTAGGCTCTCTCCTCTTTCTCGCATCCCCCTCCTCCCTTCAGCCCGTCGGTATTATCGTAAAATTAAGATTTTGACGCTCTCTCCATTCATCCGACAAAGAGCACTGCAAACGACAAGGTTAGTCCGCGAGAACTTAAATTGAGAATTGCTTGGGAAAACGTACGAGTGGCGATGCCAACGCGGACACACCGGGACCGGGGTAGAGAGCCGAAAGATAGCGGGCCCTCCGTATCCGGTCCTATGTCGTTCTCGACCCGTCGGCGTCGAGAAGCCGCTAGCACCGTGCCCCCGCACTGGCTGGGATAAAGCTTGAGATAGCCCTGGATAAATTTGGCGTAAGCACGACTCGAATCACTTTTCTTCCAGGAAAAAAGGAAGGGAAACGAAAAAAAAAATCAGTGAATGCGTAGATAACGTCCTCCACGACGGGCGCAAGCGCTCGCCGGTCCGACTGACGTGCAAATGTCTCGATGTCTCATCTTCTGTGCTAGAACGGCGGTAGGGAGGTATCGAGGAGTGAACTCACGATTCGAATAAACCGACGGCCAGAATGCTTGAGAGAGACCGTCGCGGATAGCTTGTCGGTCAACAGCAGATAGGTGCTGCCCCTGGAATCAAGATGGCACTGTAATAACGTATTAGTATGACTGCAGCGGAGGGAGGTTTTCGAAGCAGAGAAAGGGGGAGGGGGAGGGGAAAAATCAGTGAATGCGTAGATAACGTCCTCCACGGCGAGTGCGATTTAACGCACCCGCCAGTCCGACTGACGTGCAAATGTCTCGATGTCTCATCTTTTGTGCTACAGCTGCCGGAATGAGGTATGTAGGTGCCACTCACCGAGGTGGAGGATCAATCCTCTTCGTGGAGCTGGGGCTTGCAGCGCGCGCGACGAAGCGTCTATACACCAAGCATCTTCCGGTGCTTCTTCACCTCCCACTCCCAGGCGGTCAACCCAGCGTCTTCGCCATCTGTGTCCGCATCCTCGCCGACCAACCGCCGCATGGGCGCATCCCGCTCCGGCCTGACTAACAGCGCGAAGCTGTACCGATCTTCGAAGCGCTGCAGGCCCGGCGCATGATTGACGCGATGCACAGCGCTCCGGAGGAGCCCGCCCGTCCACTGCACCATCGCGTCGCCCAGATTCACGATCACACAGCCGGGCTGCGGGCGCACCCAGAGCCACGCGCCGTCGCCATCATCCGCGGGGGTGCAGCCCGGCGCGAGGATTTGCAGGCCGCCGAGCACGTTCGCGAGCAGCGTGACGGTGCCGAAGTCGGTGTGGTGGATCATGCTCGTGCGGAGGTCCGCGAGGGCCGGGCTGGAGAACGCCTTGAGGAGCCGGATGACGGTGCCCGAGGGCTTGGTGGGGGCCTGCAGCGAGGTGAAGGCGTCAGGCGGCAGGCCGAGCTGGGTGGCCAGAGTGGAGCAAATTGTGGCGACGACATCCTGGCCGTGTTTGAGGAAGGAGGTGAGCAGCGGTAGATGGGTGTGAGCAAGGGGCGGGAG